ACCAAGAAGTGACCCGCTGTTGTAGATGAATGACTAGAATAGGGTTCTGGGATTTTTTCTGATTCTATTCTGTATCAGGGCTCTGGGATTATATTCTGTTTGAGGGTCCTGGGATATGTTATGGTTGTATTCTTTATTAGGGTTCTGCGATGGATTATAGTTATGTTCTATAGGGACTTTAAAGGGAGACTAGCCTAAACCTTATGGGATGTAGCAGCCTTCTGCGTCAGGACCCACTCTTGATCGTTCAGGGCTCCCTGCAGGATTCGGCATTGCAAGGGGATGTGAGTGGAGGCCTTGGGCAGCCTGTGCGTGAGGGTTTCAGAAAGAGAGACCCACGGATCTGATAGAGGGCTTAGGCATTTGTAAATTGAGCTAACTTGCGTCCACCAGCAGAGGTGCTCAACTATTTCGGTTCAGCTGTAACCGAAAAGACCTACCTTTTTAGGGCTCCTTACTATGGTTGTTATATATAGTTTCTGAAAAAGGTAGGCCTTTTCGGTTTAGGATTTAGGGCTTCGGACGTGTAAGTAGGGGCTTGCAATCAGATGGGGAGGTTTTTCTTAGAGCTTCCGCAGACTCTTTTGGTTTAGGGCTTCGGGGTTTGGGAATAATTAAGGGTTTCGGGTTTCGGGTTTAGGGTTTTAGGGTTTAGGATTAAGGATTTAGGGTTTAGGGTTTAGGATTAAGGATTTAAGATTAAGGGTTTAGGGTTTAGGGTTTAAGATTAAGGGTTTAGGGTTTCGGGTTTTTGGCCTGGCATCTAGAGGCTGCCTAGATGGATGAACGTATACGGAGCCTTCCGGCTTCAGGGTCGGGGCCGGGTGGGTTCACAGGACGAACAAACCCTGGCTTGAGTTTCGGCCCTCAACCCTAAACCCTAAACCCCAAAACCCTAAACAATCCTAAACCCTCAACCCTAAATCCTTAAACCCCTAAACCCTAAACCCAAATCCCAAGCAGAAACCCTGGAGCCCTGCACCCGATTCGCTTCGAAGCCCACAGCCCGAAGTCGCCTTCCGAGACAGCCCCAAAGCCGCTCTAGGGTTTCAGGGTTCAGGGTTTTAGGGTTTTAGGGTTTTGGGGTTTGGGGTTTTAGGGTTTAGGGCTTTGGGGTTTTAGGGTTTAGGGTTTAGGGTTCAGGGTTCAATTTAGGGCTTTAGCGTTTTAGGGTTTAGGGTTTAGGGCTTTAGGGTTGACCCTGAACCGCAAGCCCGAAGAAACCCTGAAGAACCGTGAGTAAGAGGCCGGGGCCTTGATGATTAGAACAGGATTCCTTTAAAGGGCTCCTTGACGGGTTCTGTGAGGGCTTCATGGGATTTTTGTATAGGGTAATACAGGGGCCTTCATAATTAGAATAGGGTTTGGGGGTCCCCCGGCGTATAATTATAATAAGGAGCCCCCCTAAATAATACAGGTAATTATTGAGGCACCCAATATTTAATCTGACTTGAGCCTGGGCAGGTCATAGTACAAGGGAACAGCAGGGAATAATGTTACGAATAATTCAAGCTTCCATCGTAGGCAGCGAAGTCGCTCCGCTTGGGGCTACAACGACTAATGCTCCAGTCGCTCTTCAAAGGCTGCTGTTGGGCTGTGAGGACCAGATTGATCTGTACGGTGACCGGGCGACTGGGGGTCAGAAGGGACCTCCAGAAAGTAAGAGCACACATCCGCATCCGAAGCTGGACGAGTACATCCAGTACCGGGCAAGTGAGGAGCTGCCGCATTTCTCCAGCCAGCACCACTTCCACCATGGTCCCGAGGACCTGTTGACCCGGGGCGGGAGTTGCTTCTGGGGGCTGGTTGCTGTTATTGCTCAACATAATTTGGGCACAACCCCCTAGACCTAGACCCTACGCTTTAACCTCGAAACGTCAGACCCTACGTCCTAAACTCAACAAGAATGAAGATTAAACCCAACAGCCCCAAACCCAGAACCCCGACACCCAAAATCTTAACCCTGAACCTCTAGCCTGAATTCTAAACCCTAAACCCTAAACCGTAAACCCCTAAACCCTAAACCCTAAACCCTGAACCCCGATCCCTACATCCCTACATCCCTAAACCCTAAACCCCAAACCCCAAACCCCAAGCCCTAACAGCCGAAAGCTGAGGCCAGCACCGCCCTGGTGCTACCATCCGACGGATTCGGCAGGGGAGCCCCGCTGGCCTTAGGAGTTAGGATTAGGGGGGAGGGTTTAGGGTTTTAGGGGTTTTAGGGTTTAGGGCTTTAGGGGTTTAGGGTTTAGGGTTTTAGGGTTTTAGGGTTTTAGGGGATTTAGGGGTTTAGGGTTTTAGGGGTTTAGGGTTTTAGGGCGTAGGGTTTAGGGTTCAGGGGGACCTTTGGGGATGTGGATCTAGGACCAGGATTTGAGGAGCCTGAGGTTTAGGGTTGCAGGTTTAGGGGGTCTACCCATAGGCTCCAAAGTAGTTCCTTTTTGTGGTTCATATTTAGGATCCTATAAGGCAACCCCAAAAAGGAACTACTTTGGAGCCTATGGGTAGGTCCAGGGTTGGTAGGAGTCTGAGGTTTAGGGTTTAGGGTTTAGGGTTTGGGGCTGGGAGTTGGGATTGGGGGGATTTTGCGGGGGATAAAGACCCTCTCCAGAAGGTCCCTGCTTAGAGAGCCATCAGTAGGGATAAGAAGGCTCCTTCTTTAAGGGGGAGACACGGTTGATGATAGAAATCCTGCATTACCTGAAGGACCCTAAACTACGGGAATTATGGTATATTCCTTAGTATGGGTGATGAGGGATTTATATCATCAACCGTAATACTACCTAGGTCGGCAAGTCTTCTGCCCGCAAACTGACAGTCTAGGTAGGACGCCTCCATACTTAGGATAGGGATCCTTTAAAGGCTTCTTATAGGGATCCTTTAAAGGCTTCTTTGTTCTAAGGGTTCTTAATGTGTAGGGCCTTTATGATTAGAATAGGGTCTTGGGGTATAGGGTCCTATACTATAGTTCTATTAAGGAACCCCCAAACTAGTATAGGTAATTAAAAATTTGACCATTTAGGGACGATTACGGTTGAGGAATTCGGGACGATTAAGGTTCAGGGTTTCGCGTTTAGGGGTTTAGGGCTTAGGGACTATTAGGGGCTATTAGGGAATACGATTAGCAACGATGCCATTAGGCTTCTATATAAACACGCAGGGTCTAGTATATCTTAAACTCTCAACTCAACTAGACCCTAAACCCTAAACCCTAAACAGGCCCTAAACCCGAAACCCTACACCCTTGTAAGCATCAGCGGTGGCCGCTTGCAGGAGAAAGATGCAAAGATCCGTGACCCCGGGGGGGACTGCACCTAGGGGGCTTGTCGAACATGAAGGCCGCAATCATTAGGAGAAGGCGTTCGGTTATATTGTACTAGAACTCAAGAAAAGAACTCGGAGGAACATGACTGTTTATTCTTCAAACGAAAATTTAAAACTCTCACCATCAGCAGAACAAGGCCGGCAACTTTGCAAACCACTGTTGAAAAGCGACCTTGTGTTGTAGCTGCGCGACCCTAAGCCCGTAGACCTGAACATGGCAACCCTGAAAAATGCAGACTCCAGGCCTCCAGCAGCCTCCCTACAGTACATCCGAAATCCTAGAGCCCCTGAAGGCCTCTGAGCCCTAAACTCTCTCAGCCATGTAAAAGATCTCTTTGCACCGAACTCCTCCAGGAAATCGTCTGAGGTCCCTGGCCCCCTCTCGGAGCATCGCTGCGTTGAGCGGGTACCTCGCGCAGAAGCCGTTTTTGGGTTGGTTTTTAGGGTTTAGGGTTTCGGGTTTAGGGTTTAGGCTTTAGGGTTTCGGGGTTTAGGGTTTAGGGTTTCGGGTTTCGGGTTCGGCCTCCGCAAGGCTGCCCTGGGCCCGAAACACGACATGCTGAGCCAGTTCGCCCCACACCCTAAACCCTAAACCTTTCAACCGAAAAACACCGCGCCGTTCCGGAGGGCTGGCTTCCTTTCAGGGTCCGTTTAAGGGCTCCTTTCGGTGTTCCTTTTTTAGGGTTATCTCTCTCTCTCTCTCTCGCTCTCTCTGTCCGTCCGTCCGTCCGTCCGTCCGTCCGTCCGTCCGCCCGTCCGTCCGTCCGTCCGTCCGTCTCTCTCTCTCTCTCTCTGTTTCTGTCTGTCTGTCTCTCTCTGTCTGTCTATCTGTCTCTCTCTCTGTCTCTGTCTCTGTCTCTCTGTCTCTCTGTCTCTCTGTCTCTCTGTCTCTGTGTCTCTCTGTCTCTCTGTCTCTCTCTCGCTCTCTGTCTCTCTGTTTCTCTCTCTCTCTTTGTCTCTCTGTCACTGTGTCTCTCTGTTTCTCTCTGTCTCTGTCTCTCTCCCTCTCTCTTCTTTTTTTCTCTTATGAAGAGGCAAATTTGGAGAAGTACGTTTATGGCGTTCCGGTGTCGTCCGTGCCACCGTCTGTGTAGAGCTCTCAGACAAGGTCTGTGCCAGCCAGTTGATCTTATGAGCGCTTGTCCTAGGTCGCCCATGCCACCGGCTGCCATACATCCGTATCCTATGAAGGCTTGCTTGACTGTGCGGGGATAGGAGTCCTATCCACCTCGACGTTGCTGCAAGCGCAGGCTCAAATGCCGCTGCCGGCGGGATTGCTAAGCTGCTGCGATGATCCTTTTGCGATGCGAAGTAGGCTGATGTCTCGCAGACGGACTCCCAGGGTCTCAGTGTCAGACCTGGCAGAGTTTCTGTGAAGCGCTTGGTGACAACATGGAATGTGGCAAGCCTTGAGCTGACGGGTGTGATTCACCACAGCCACCAGCGAGTGTACGTTTTTACACGTTGCCTGACTTAGCTTCAGGTTGACTTTGTGGCCCCAAAGAGCAAGCCATGCGCCATGATGCGAATGTTAGGCATAGGAGACCAACGGCGTGCACCAGTTCCTTATGGCCTTATGGTTCCTTGAACTTTCTTGCGAGCTCCATGTTGTAACGTAGATAGCCAAATAGCTGAGTCGGTAAAGTACATCGCGGCTTTTGCGAGCCAATGGGACCATGTCGCAGATGGCGAACGGTGACATCAACAGCCAGGCCATCCAGAAACATAGTTGAGGCAAAGAAGGATGACCTGATGGTACGCTTGGTTGATCAAAACAAACAGGAGATGCAGTGCGAAAGCAGTGCATGTGCGAGATAGGATCGAGATCCTCATCCCCTTCTTTCTGTGCCCTGTGTATTTTCATAAAGCATGATCCCTCATATCCCTCCGGAGCATTTCCTGTGCAGCCTGTGCATCCCGAAGGCTTTCTGGAATGAGTTCATGCGAAGACCAGATGCAAAAGCGGCCTACCAAGCAGAAAGGCGTCTGCAGGCACACCCCTTAGCATCGAGTCGTAGATGTCATCTTCGGCTGAGCACCCGCGCCTAGATCAGGAGAAGAAGCGCCTATGGCTGGAAGAGCGGAGAGCTGTAGAGGATGGAGTGCTTGCTTTTTTTCGCAGTTGCCCTACGTTTTGCTTGAGTCAGGAACGAGCAGAGCACCGTCGTTTGCTGGCTGATGCTTTGGAGGAAAAGCCCCGTCGGTGCAATTCTGGTCCCTGGGGATTGGTTTTTCCACGCGAGGAAGCACCTGCTGAGCTGAAGAAGCTCGTGGCGCCGATGTTCCACATCCGGTTTGTGGAGGATTACTTGCGGCCGCCTCATGTTCACATACTTCCATCATCGCAGCGCCCATTCTGCGCTCCTTGAGGTGGATGATTTATGATGAGTGCTCGAAGAAACAGAAAGACTTCAAGGAAAAGTTGCGGGATGGTGCGTCGGCCCCCTGCAGCGATCCTTTGCGAGCTGATGTCAAGATGGCGCTGAACCGTCTAAGGACGGCAGATCAGCTACGTAAGATGCGGGAAAACTTCCAAGCTGGGGGAGAGGCGGCCGTCTGCAGAGGAGGTTTCCAGCAAGCAAACGGCATGTGCGAGGAGCGAATGGCGGACATGGAGAAGGAGTGGTGCTCGACTCACCAGCTCGCGGTCAACGGATCATTCGGAATTTGGATCTACCAACATTCCCGATCCGTTCTCCGAGGCATGCTCAGTGCAAGGCGATGTCAGAAGCTGTCCGCTTCTGAGGTCAGCATGCTTGAGGGGTGCATGATGAGAGTTCAGACTCCACCTGAGGAGGAGAAGAAGAAGGAAGTTCTCCCGCAAAGCATTGACATTCACACCTTGAAGCATGTGCTGGAGTACGCGCAGGTGTCTGCCAGCACGATGTCTGGTGAACTTAGGCTTGAAATGTCTGTCGCCGCGAGGAGTGCAAGCGCGAAGGCAACCTCAAGTTCCAGGAGGGCCTCTACGAGGAGGCCACAATGAAGCATTTCAAAGCCTGGTCTGACGTGCTGCGAATAAATGGGTGAGAGAAGTGTTTCCAGGCCTTGTATATCTACTCTCAAGCCGATGATGCCATGAAGAAGTGGAAGGCGAGTGCCGGTCTCGGTCCAAAGAGCAGTCCGTGTCTTCCCTCTCCCAGGTGGCCAAACATCTAAAGAACGAGGAGAAGTGGTTGAAAGACTACCATTTGGCTTGCCTCAAGTCAACTCGACCGCATGTAAAGAACGGCTCAAAGAGAGGCCTTGTTTTTACACCATACACCTTGGTAACCATTGGTACCGAGGAACAAGGCGCAAGCAGCTCTGAAGCTGGAGCTCTTTCAGACCGCGCTGGACCCGGTGCTTTCTTGCGATCTGCACCTGCGGGCTTCTGTAAATCCACATGGAACGATTCGCAGAGTGCCTCGTTTCGACCTGCGACCTTCTACGCTTTGGTGTTTAGGTGAAGAAGATGTTCGCATCGAAAGAAGGGCTAGATTAGACAGTGCTGCAGCGAAAACGCCACTCCACTGAAGGGTCTTCCGAGGGGATTGAGCGGGAGGTGTGGCCGAGTGAAGACATGCAAAACTTGACAGTACGCACACCTGAACATGCTTTTTGACCTTTGTTGCCGGCTGGCCAGTGGATCCGCTGTGCAGCAATGTTCTTGTCATGCCATGCAAGCTTTCGATAACCCTCGATTCCTCTGAAAGCCTCCGGGGGAGAAACCTGTGGTGTCAAGCTGTACATGTGCCAGCTTTCGCTTTGGGGAACAGGATGCCTCCGATGCGGCGCTAAGCATCGACACGGAGGACCACAAAGCCTGGTACAGGCTCTGCCCGGAGATCTCCCCAAGACGTCGTTGAAGCCGCTAGAAAGCATGTGGCAGGAAAGTGCAAGCGGAGAAGGGCCTTGGCAGATTCAAGGAGGTCCGGCCATGCTTTGGTGCTTTGGGATCAGCGACTAATGGGCATGTTCAGGCCGAGGAGTCGCTGGCCAAGCTAGAGGATGTGGCCCAGTGGTGTGTCGGACTGAGCGATGACCCCTAGCTGGACCTAGCTTGCAGCTTCCCGCCCTTGCAGGCACTTCTCAGTCTCATAATCTTGAACCGACATAATCCAACGGCCACATTGCACGACATGTTTCCTGGATTGTTTTGGATTCCCTTCAAGGCCCCGACAGACGGCGCATCCTGCGAGATTGCGAGGCGGAGAGGAAGAGGAGCCCGGCCTGCTGAAAGAAAATCACTCATGAAGTGTCTTGTCCACTGCAAGGATCAAGGTGGCGCGAGTCAAGCATCGACAATCGACCCAAGAGATGTTGGGTCGAGCCTTCGAGGTACTCGAGTGCAGGGGCACTGGCACAGCGGCAACGCATGGGTCAGAGCTGCTTGTGCTTCCCGTGCTTCTTGTCAGGCGGGCGTCTTCAGCATTGACAGAGATCGCGAGTTGGAGGAGGTCGGGAATTTCCACCCAATCTCTTGTCACTTCTCTCGCAACTGCAGACGACTTTTGTACTCCCCTTCTCTTTGGTAGGCTGCGAAGAAGTTGGAGGAGCCACCTGCGCAGATGCAGGCCAGAGCGCCTTCAGGGGCCCAAACCTGGGCGCCAGGAGGGGCCCAGGCCTTTGCTTTTTGAGGTCTCCACGGAGCAGAGGAAGAGCTTGGAGGCGGGTTTTGCGGCTGGCGGCTGCGGCTGGCGGCTGCGGCTGGCGGCTGCGGCTGGCGGCTGCTTCGCGGTGCCTGCACTGCGTTGCGCTTCGCAGGCACAGGCGCGGCCGCTGGAGCGCAAGATCCAGCTGACTGCAGCACTGGTGCGCCTCTTAAGCTGCCCCTACAGGGGCCGGGCCTCACAAGATGCAAAACGGTAAGCCATGTTGCCCGGTGACATTTTAGAAGATTTGGCATGCGCAGAGTGACGCCGGAAGCACTCGCCTGTACGATCTGCAGGGCCCTTCCTTGAGCAGCTAGAAAAAGTAGAGTGCGAACCCTGTGCCTTTGCTTTGTTCGGCGAGAAAGCTTGGTAGCAAGCAGAGCACATGTACGATGACCAGTGTTCCCAACGGAATGGAGGGTTCGCCCTCCACGCATGAAGCACACCGTCGAACCGTAGTGCTGCCGTCGAGGCTGGAGACTTGATGGATGAGCTCGCCGCCGCATACGGCATTGTCCTAAGGTGTAGTGTATTTTCCTTATACGGTTCATGCTGCACGTGTGAATCAAGGTCAGAAATGGTTCCAGGCGCTGTGTGTGCGAACATGCTTTGTGTGTGTGTGTGTGCGTGCGTGTGTGTGCTTTGCTCTCTGTGGCTTCAGGAGAGGGTGCGAAAATGCGCTCGAGACTCCGGCTTCGAGCGGTCTGTTTTCTTGATGCGACTCAAGGCGCTCGGAGCGCGCCATTGCGCCACTGCCACTCCCGCACTCAAGCCGAGTCGGTTAGGATGTGGCCTTTGAAGTTCAGAAGCCCGTCCTGGAGAAGTGGGGTTTTGAGGCGCCCTGAGTGCCTGAGCCTGGCTTGGCATAACTTGGCACAGCGAATGCAAGGGCAACGAGCACGGAGTTCGTGAGATGACTGCTGCCATCCGCGAGCATGCCGGTAGAAGTGGCAAGGACGAGAAGTCGTCCGCACAGCGCAGTCTTGCGCTCGCCTGTTTGCAGTGTAGAGCTGTTAGGACATGCCTCAGTGGCTGAAGGAGAAGCAAGACAGGCCCGAAGGGTCGAGAGGGCAGGGCAGTTTCGTGTGCCTGCTTCTGTGTCAGGTGCTTAGAGCTCTTGTATGGTGGCCCAGAAGGTGGGATGTTGGACATCCTCAAGTGACACCCGAGGCACCGTTTCACTCTTATCGGCTCCTGCGGAAGGCTCCCAACGGACGATTCTTGCTGTGCACGCGCTGTGCACTGCTGTTTGTAGGAGCCCCCGAGAAGGTCGATGTCAAAATGTGACTTCAGACACGAGAGGAAGCGAGGACTTCAGAGTGACTCTGACTTGCAAACGCCTCAGGCATTGGCTCATTATGATAGAGTGGAATCCCGGGGTGGGGTTCCGCGGCCATCATGGCACCTGGAGGCTGCTGTTGCATGCAGCGACTTGCAGCCGTGAGAGTTAGAGAACTGGACGAACAGGTGGACTTCCAGATATCTCCGGAATGAGCTTCGGCTTCACAGCCTGGGACATCGGGAGAGAGGGTTTGGGAATGTGGCGTCTGTGGTGACATGCTGCGACTCAGGACATCACTGAAGGCACCGCATACAGGGCCTTTTTTTGCGTCTGCGCTTGTTGCGGATGCGGCACGCGCGTCTTCGCCTCGCAGAGGTGGACGTCACTGGACAGATCCCCGAGAACTGGACCGCTGAAGAGCTCCGCAAGTGCTTCGAGAAGTGGCCCCGTCGCAAAGAGAACTCTGCAAAGCGCAAAGGGCGATCGCATAGGCGATCGCATGGCTTCAGACCTTCCTTGAGCAACACTGCAACTAGTGCAACTAGTAGGTGCGGGCCCGCCGGTAGACTGCTCTAGGCTGTGTCGCGGCTTGGTCTTTGCATGGTGGCATGTGGAGCCTGCGGTGCACATGATGCACTTAGATTTGGCGACATCGGAGATGTGTTCATTCCACGCGAGAGGTTTTCTGACAGGCCGGGAGGGGAAGATTCGTCGTTGACTTCTGAGTCGCTTCGCCGCCCGCAGACCTCGGCCGTTTGCCTTCGTGAGATTCAAGGACGACACGGATGCAACAGAGGCAGCGCCTTGCGCGCAAGGCCGCAAGGTGCCTTGCATCTCTTTCTTGTCTCGCAGGCAATCAAGGAGATGAATGGCACGAAGTATGAGGCGGGAGTCTGAGGCAGGAATGGATGCAGGGGCGGTCTCTGCGCGCTTCTTCGCCGAGGGCAGCACCCTCAGCGTCTCCAAGGCCAATCGGAGCAGGGAGGAGGCCCGCAGGGCCCCGCATGCGAACGCATTTTTTAACGCTGCACCTTGCTTCGAACGAGCGCTGAGGCACGTGCGGAGACAGCGCGGGACGACGGAAAGCACGCAGCTGCTGCATATTCGGGGGCGTGTGAAGTCCTCGTCCTCTGATGCATTTCGCAGGCGGAAGGAGTCCAAGTCACGGCGCAGTAGACGATCCACCAGCCGAGGAGGGCGCATTCGGAAGTTCAGATGTCGTCTCGTGTTTTGTGATGTTGAGTCTGACTCTGGCAGTGTTGTGCAGCATCGGGTGCGTACATTTGGCAGCTTTTAGTTTCCGCCAGGGCGAAGACGTCGCTCTCGATCCAGGTCACGGTCTTCTCGGCCGCGGTGGGGCCCTTTGATGCCGTTTACACGCCTTGTCGTGTTGCATCCTTGGAAGGCGGCAGAGATGCGAGTCGAGTGACAGCGGGCGACGGCGCAGGTGCTCCCCATGGCCTTGTGAGCGTGAGGTTTAGTTGGGTGTGTGCATGATGACAGCTGAGATTATCATACGTGCCACGAGCGCTCACAGTCGCAAGACATGGGTCTTCCACTACACCTGCCACTGCGACAGACGGTGTCCTTTCATTGCATGTCGTGGATTTTGTGTCTTTGCATTCCTGGGTCTCTCTGCTGCTGCAAGGGGCATTCGCGCCGCGTTCATGAGCGTTCATGCTGAATCTACAGGCGTCGCAGCAAGAGTGCCAGCAGCCGCGATCTTGGATTAAGACTATGCTATTGATACCTTGAAAGAGGACCATTGGCAAGGGACTTTCATGGTTGTGTCAAAGTGCTTTTGCCAGGTCGAAGCAGCCGCAGTCGCAGTCGCAGTCGGCATCGTTGACTCGAAGAAAAGTGGGGTGTTTCAGTTGGTGGACTTGGATTTTGGCCTCGACTGCAAGCCCCCGTTGCGCTGTGCACTCGCCGAGTCACTCGCTGTTGGAGCTCCTTCAAGAAGCTTTCTGGATCAGACGAAGTATACCAGCAAGCCGGCACGACATGCGTTCAAGATCTTTCAAGCTGTAAGACACAGCGCAGACGACTCGTACTACTGGCTTCCCGCTCGGTGACAGCCGTTGAAGCCATGGCTGATGGAGGGGAGGTCTTGCTGAGAAGAGGGGGAGAAAGGCACAACACAACCAGGCATGCGGGCATCTGTTGCAAGCTGGCGGCGTCTGCGAAAGCTTTCGATGGCAGGTTTGTGAAAGGTACCAATGCAAAGAAGCCACCGAACTTCGAAGGCACTGGCTCAGTGAACCGCAAGTGTGCTTCCTTCACAGCTTTTTGTCACGCTCTCTGCAGGAACAGGGGTTATCGCCCTGTTCAAGCATCCGCTGACCTGGCTGAACCTTCTCTCTTCGCTTGAAAGCGCTTGAAAAGCGCTGGCGCCAGGCTCTCCATCTTCATGATCTGCGTCCCTTTCGGCGTCTGGTCCTACTTCTTCAAGTCCGGAGAACCCAGACAGGGCAGACTGCAGCGAGAGAGCCAAGAGTGGGGGCGGCCTCCTCTCCCTCTGAGGTGGGATCCCGCCTACACGTTTTGGCTCAACTTCTTCGCACGCCCCCGGCCTGTTTCTCCTTGCGCCTGCTTGCGCCTGCTTGCGCCTGCCTGCGCCTGCATTCGCCGGATGCCGGCCAGGCAATGCTTCCAATGGCCAAGATCTTGGGAGATATCACGGAGGCTCGGTGGACAACGCTTCTCTTGCTCTTTGATGCTTTTTTTTGCTGTGCTAGGAGCTGGCAGCCGGCCTGAGGAACGACCTTCTCGCCGGCCTGATCAATGCCTGCAGCTTGAAATTTGGAGCGAGAGCAAAGGTGTCCCCTGAATTGTCAGAAGGCCACCTTCGGGAATGCAGTGGAGATGGTCATCACGGCCCGATGCCCAGAGAAGGCTGTGTGCCTGCTGGGAGATGCCGTCGTGCCGTCTCTTTAATTAGGTGCAGACGCTGCGCGGCGGCCTCTATGCGGTGGTCAAAGCGACGCTTCTAGGCGACGGCTTCGCGAAGTTCATAATGTCCCGGCTGTGTCGTGCTTGCCCGTGCCATAGGCTCCGTTCTGTCAAATGTGCTGCTGGTGCTGGGGATGTCCTTCCTCTTCGGGGGCTTGGCCTCTCGCCCAACGGGTGCCCAAGCTCGGTGCCCAAGCGGTGATTTGACATTTGAGGTGAATGTCACCGGGAAGACAGAAGAGCAAGCAAAAGTGAAGGACCGTGAGCAACTTGGCTCCCTCCAAAGATATTGTTTGCTCTTGAAGTCTTGGGCGAGAGGATGCGGAATCCCTGGAGAAGGAAGCCACAGGAGGTTACAGCATGGTTGCCGAGAAGGTCCTTCTTGTCGGGCATGACTTCGTCTGACTATGTGGAGCTGGCAGGTGCAGACCTTCAAAATCCTTGGAGCCATGGTCTTCGCGCGATGCTTCTACAGCACGCTGGGACAAAGTCTGACTGTCACCGTCTCGCCAGGTGAATACCTCGATGCTCTTGCTGTCGTGCCTTTCGTTCACTCTGGCCGCTCTCTGAAGGGAAGGGCTGGAGGGAGGTCCTGGCCGTTCGTGTTGTGCTCTCGAAAAAAATGGGTGACTCAGGTGACGGTGTTCGGCACGATGCTGGAAGACCATTACAAGATGAACCACAGTGACCTCGAAGAGGTGATGCTGCCAATCTCTCGGACATGCTCCATCATCATTGTCTCTGCCTACGTCGCGTTCGACTCTCAGATGCTGCCTGCAGGAGGGGGCACGGGGTCCTTCCTGAGTTCATGTGCCAATCCGGCAGGTATATCGTTTTCCAGCTGTTCACGCACCGAACCGTCCCTGCCCCGAACGTAGTCGCACTTGAGGTTTCGGACCCTTGCTGAAGCCTTGCTTTGTGCCGTATTACCAGTGTTGCAGATCTGACAACCGAAACTGACAAACCAAGATGATTAAGCCAGCCAAACACAACATCTCACGTCGCCCACGCTTGTTTGAAATGCTATTGCCTACTCTTTTCTGAAATCCACATTTCTTGCTAATTAGCCTGGCTGAAGGATGGACTACTGTTGCCCCCTCTGTTTGCTAGACCTCAAGGGGGAAGCGGCGCTTAGGGCCTCGCTTGTCACAGACCTGGGCACAAGACCCGATCTTAGCTCTGGCTTGCAGGACTACCGATTTTTTGTACCCTAAACCCTTAAAACAAAGGCCCTTATGGAACCCTGAGAAACCCTGCTGGCACGGATTCCGCTTACTCCGAACTCACCCTTAATGGGCGTGTGCCCTGCAGTGAGTGCTCCGTATTTGTGAACATCAACTTGCACTGTGAGAATTGGGCGTGGCCGTTGGTTCGAAGGTCATGGCAGAAGGAGGCGACGGCGACGACGAAGAGGAGGCAGCAACGGGAGTTTTCTGTTTTTGGCAGGCTGGTGTAGAACCGCTGTTTGGGGTTCAGTCGTCCCATCCTACTCCCAGGAAAGTTCAATATCGGTGACCACAGCAGCCGTGCGCCACACCAGTCAAGCCACAGAGATGCGATATGCCGACAACTTGCTTGCAGGTACTCCTGTTTGCAATGACAGCAGTTGTCGCTTTCTGTTCGGAGCTACTAGCCGGTACCTGAGAGTCACGAGCTGCAGCCGGCAGGGCATCTCGCGTTTGGGCTTTGAGTTTAAGGTAGATTCAATTGAGAGCATGACGGCGCGGGCGCACATGGGCACAGCACTCAGACCGGATGAGACACGCAACTCCATCGGATGCTCTGCAGTCAGCAGTCCTAGTGAAAACCCAGGTGAGCACTTCATCGGAATCATTCTCTTGCCCATTGTGGGCAATGCATGCGAGCACGCTGCGGCCGTACGCTTTGCCATGCAGGAGACAGGGAGGGACCCCAACTCAAGCAAGCTCAAGGCGAAGGGCCCAGACCTGTGCTAGGACAAGCCTGGTCTATCGATCGGGATCGCAGTTGGATCTTCTACGCTGGAGTCTCGAGAAGTTTGGAAGCGAAAGTGTGCACTCTTCGTGCAGTGTTGCGCCAGAGTGGAGCTCTTGAATCAGTTTGCGAGGCAAATAGCGCTCTTCGTAGTCCCCTTCTCTGTTCTCGTGGGATGGGCCATCGACAAGCCGCCAGCAGCCTCAGCGCTTTTCCGTGCGTAAAACAGCTCTCAGCTCTGACGGAGTGCCGCAGGATGGACTTGAACTTCGGGGCCCTCAATGTCACCGTGCGGGGCTTCGCGGCTTCGCGACAAGAAGGGGCTATCCATAATGTTCATGAGGTGATGACGCTTAGCGTCATAGTTGTCCTTTCCATGGTGGTGGATGGCCAGTCGGGCTCCCTTTTTGTACTATGCAGAGATGCCAAAGCCGTCGGCAGAAACATTCTGCATTCAGGTCCAACTGGCTGCAAGGCTACTTGCTCTGCGCAGCCTACGCCGTCATAGCTGTTTTGTCCCCGCCCTATAGCCTGCGCCGCAGTGCAGGCTCTGTCAGACTGGCATTGTCTGAGGTTTTGGTATGTGCCAAACGATACATCCATCTGAGTGGACAGCAGGTGTGCGTGGCAAGGTTACGCACTTGTATGTGCTCTGTGTAATCTCCTTGTGCGGAAGCACTTCGGCCCGTTTTACGTAGGCTCACGAGGTCCCCGAGCCGGGGCGAGGGGAAGCCTCTCCATCAGCGGAGGGCACTGAATGAACCACTGAAGGTCAGGTCAGCTGTGTTTCTGCCGCTCCCCCGCCTCGGTGCGCCCTCTGCGCCAATGCCGCGCGGAAGAGACGCGCCTGCGTGTCACCGTCAAATCAGCCCCCGCCCCTTGTGTGGAAAGAAAGTGAGAGGAGCATCGTATTTTTTTTGTTTTCTCGCTCTCGCTCTCTCTCTCTCTCTCTGGCTGTCGCTCTGTCTCCATAAGTCTACACACTCTGCTGCACACTCATGTCCTGATGAATTACACCGTCGACTATTCAGAAGGCTTTGGAAGCAAGCGATTCTCCCACGCGGAAGGTGCTTTCCTTAATCTTCCTGGTACCACCCTGCTAATGTTGCCAAGTGTGGGAAGCCATGCAGCTATGCTGTGTCTGAGGTAAACAATCATTTTTGACCAGCCGACCGACTTATCCAAGCATGCATTGCAACCAACGGACGAACACTTTTCGAAGCGACATGTTTCTCGCGCAAGCAACCAAGCACGACCAATTTTATGGGGATCGCACAAGCAACCAAGCAGGACCGCCCCCAGCAGCCCTTTCAACGACAACATCTCCAACCAAGCGCAATCAATCAGCGATATGACCGAAGCCGATCCAGCTGGCAGCAGGAATCCACGTCAATTGCCTCAGGCAGAGCGACCAAGCGACACAAGCAATTGCAATTGATCAACCGATCAAGAGTCGGGGGTTTGAGATTAATATAGGCGTTGAGTGTTTATGCAAGGCTTCAGGGGCGGCTTGCGCTAATGCCCCACATGGTTAAGAATAAAGGTTGTCGGTTTAGGCTGTGAAGCCTTGGGTTGACATGGGCATTCCAGCTACTATGCATGGCTTCGAGGAACAACCATGCAGTTTACAGTGACCCCGGACCTCACCGTGCCTCATCGCTGGAAACGCGCGTGTGGACCCGCAAGTCATCGGGGGATAGCACTGCATCGTCCTTCGTGTGGTATAGCCAGCTCTTTACCCCGGATGGGGTTCGTTGCCGGTGGCCCCAGCGTGTTGTTTCCATGCAATCTCACATCGCATGCTCCGAAGCCCTCGCACAGCTTGCAGTACACTGCTCTTGGACTCTCTCCTTTTTGCAAAGCACGCTCGTTTGGTTCTGCCCGGGCACCAGTGATATCACATCTGCAGAAAGCCGAGTGAACCGCCTGTTCACCACCGCAGAACCGCTCAGCATTCGCCTCGCAGCTACGTGGGCGCGGGCATCGTGTGCAAGGAGAAGCACCTCCCAAGGGAGTCTCACTCCGTGGATGCGCAGTCTCTTTTCCGCAGCAGGCTTCGCTCCGCCTGGCCCTTCTCTTGCTCCGACTGCGCTGCTTGCTCTCCGGAGGGGGACGGGGCAACAAGGACCCAGCCCGCCAGCCAGAGGCCGCAGACAGTTGATTAAAGAGGGGGGTTAACCCGGCATCGCATAAACATGCAAAGCTTCTCATTTTCTTTGGGCTCGCAATGTCCCGCGGCATACTTCATCAACCTGTGCGAGCACAAGCACAATGAGTCATGCTGCTCTTGTTTTGTGCGTGCTCTACAAGTAGACTTCGTCGGAGAACGCGATCGTGTTTTTATCTTTTTGTCGACCGTGTTTTCTGCTGAAGAATCTGCAAATGGCTGCACCGCTATGCATCTCAAGAATTGTCGATAGAGTAGCTACCTAGCAGCTACCTCAGAACTCTTCGGAGCACCCATCCACACAACCCGTGGCGAGCTAAGTTTGGCATCGCATTGCCCTGCAAAGTTTATCACCTTCTTCATCCTTGCACTGCTTCACAGTGTACTTTCAGCAACTGTTGCGAGCGAAAGCAGAACTGCTCCACGTTGCTTTTGTGTTGTGTGTGTGCTGTTTCAGCAAGTAGACTTCTTCAGACAAACTGCTACGGCATGCACCCGGTGTGTGATGATTCGAGATCTCAGATCGAACCTTTCGCATGGGCTTCGGCTTTGCTCGTCAATCTCTTGGACGCAAGTGAACAGTCTCATTCCAATGTGCAGGTGATTCGTGGCTCAAGGTGCCGCAAAATGCAAGACAAAAAAACTGAAGACCTCGCTCATGTCTTAGCCATGGGGACGACGAATCCAACAAGAAACATGTTGTACCGACGACGTGACGAGTTACAGCTCGAACACGGGAGCCGTTTGGAGCGCCATGGGCCAGCCCTTGCCTCAGCTGAATTGACGTGTCTCGGTGTAATGCGGCTTGTTGAGTGAGCTGGGAGCAGTCGTGCCAAATGCAATCCCACGGCAGGCAATGTGGGTGCTGCACGCCTTCAATCGAGAAGGACGACATACCAGAGGCTGGGATGATGAAGAGTGGACGCTCAGACATTTTGCTGATTTCTTCAAATGGCTGCTGAAATCCAGACGTTCCAGGTACCCTTGGCTTCGCAGGCTTCGCAGGCACATGCCATGAACAAATCTTATGTGGATCAAGACTTTCAACGTCTCCATTGCGCTGCTCCTTTCGCTGCGGCTGCCACCATGGCGAGGCTGCTTCGATCCGCACGAACCCTCCGGCTCTGTCTGCAGCGTGCTGAGTCGATGGTTTTGTGCGACATCATTTCACCCGGTGCGTTTTCTTTTGCCGCCTCTGAATCAAAAGCAAGCCAGCTCAGGTTCCTGAAGTGGCTCAGGCACGGATCTCGTAGAACCAGCATCAATCAGTGCATTCTGTTTTGAGCCTGCGGTCCGGTTCTGGAGCATCGCGGTCTGTTCTCTCTTCCGAATTCCACGGTTGGTCTCTTGAAAAGTTTTGCTTTCCATCGTTCTAGCTGATTGGCATCATGTCCCTTCTTTCTCGTGTTGAGTGGCTTCATTAGCTGCAGAGCGGGATCGTGCTTGCAGGCGGGCTATGGGGAGAGCTTCGCAACGCTTGCCACACTGGTGCCTGCCCGTCTCTGAGAGACAACAGGGGCCAGAGCTTGGTTGGAGGTTTTTGGGATCCGAGAAGGCACTTTCTGTCCTCCTGTATCCCGCCCGCTGCTGTCTGAGGACCGAGCCAGCTTCCGGACCTTGGTCCCGGACGGGGCCTTAAAGGTTTGCTGTGTATCTGTTGTGGACTGTTCGTATGGCTGAGGTTCTGTGGAATCGTTACAAAAGTCAGGGATCGGAGAGGTGTGGTGATGCTGGTGACCGTCTTTTGGGGGGGCACTCAGGCGGAATCGTGAAGACGGAAATCACGAAAGCAGGGTGTTCGTGTTAATACTTTGCTATGAGGGTGGGAACCTGCACATTTAAGCCAAAACCCTAGCAGAGAGACCCCCCACACAGCCGCCCCAGACGCATCAAGATCATCAGAGCAAACGAAGAACCCTTTACCTGGAAGCTACGACAAGATGCCGGAGGCATCAACTGTCATAGCTGATTGTGATCGTCATGCCCGCCAGCCGCTGGCCAACCTGGCAGTCTCTGCGCCTCAGTCACAGGCCGGGAAACCCCTTGACAATCCCACCAGACGTGCTGTCTTGATGGAATATTGCTCCTGACATGACGGTATGGACATCTCAACACCGGTCGTCTGAGCATACCGAGCATGAGAAACGTACGCACCTGACAAAATTGCAAGCATGTGTCTGTTCTCCGCTGCATAAATTCTCGCCCTCTTGAGACACCGTTCATCGTAGTCGATGAAAACGGCATCCCTTCTCGAGGATTCAGAATGCTGCTCAACCATCTTACGCCTCCAAGCTTCCCGGATGACATGCCTGGCAGACTGAAGCCTGCCTCGAAGGTTTCCTTCTAGAGACACATCACCCCTTCCTGACCAGACAAAAGGTCTGACGACAGGGAAACCACAAGGTCAGACATGAATTCGCGAAGACGAGCGACCGCCAGACTGACGTCCACCCACGCAGAGAATCGCAGAGACAACCCCCCATTTTGAACACCACGCCAAAACGACGAGAAAGCCGCCGCGCCAGACATGAAGGACAAGTCAGAGCCGTGACCCGACAAGACCTTCAGGAAAGGGACAGACGCTTGACGTGCAAGTGGAATGTGGAATGCCTGCGAGACAGGCAGAACTGCCAGTCTCAGCACAAACCTTGGAGGGTGTGGCAGGCAAGCTCCTGGTGGGACCACTGTAGTCTAAAGCTCACGAGACATGGAAAGAAAAGGCGCATAGTCACAAAGTATCTTGCACAAGCAAACCTTGAGTTATGGTTCCCGTTCAACGTTATGGATGTGCAGCCGGAGAGTGCATCTGCGGCCATCAGGTAGCTACGCCCCTTTGTGGTCTGAAATTGTTGGGGTACCTTATGTTCTATAGTTGTTGAACGACGACGGAATGCCCAACATTCTCGCCTTTTTGTCACAAGCAGCGCCGCACTTGTGCGATGTGTTGGATCACAGGTTTGCACAGTTCCCTCAACCAACTTGATTCCGCCCCTGTCCCAGGATCGTGGGAGCTTCAGCACCTTGATCCCGGATAGGACACCAGCCACTACAGCTCTTTTTTGCAGGGTGCCTGCAGGGGGCCTGGCTGTGCAAGCGGCAGGAAGAGCTTCGAGACTCTACAGCCAAGCCGGCTGAGTGCACAGCCGAGCGACGAAGAAGCCCTCCGTTCATGTTGTTCTAATTACTCTAATTGAAGTCGCTGAGGCTTCGGCACTTTGCTACCTGACAGGTCGTGAGCTCAATGAACTTGTGAGCGAACAAGAGGTGCATCGTTGTTTCTGAGGCTTAGCTTTCAGGCACCCCTTCCTGAGGAGCCGGAACACGGCACGCTGCCAGAGACTTTCTGACCTTGGGCTTTGCACGGATCCAGGTATATGATAAGTTCAACGGCTGGCAACCGGAAAGAAGTTGCCTGAGATTGTTTGCGTGATACATAGACGTAGACAGGGACTGCGAGCTCGCAGGGACACTGTTGAAGTAGCCCAACGAAGGCAAGTTATGCAGTCCGTGTCCAGCGCTCGCGGTATCCTGAACATTGGTAAGATTTGGTAAGGCTTGCCAGAATGCTGAGCACTCAAGTCACATCTAGATCTAGGTGAGGCAACTCAATCTCTGCCTGTCACTTTGAGCCCATCGGTCACTCCGAGGATCGTGTTTGCTCGTCCGTTTTCGGTGCAGGTTCCGAGAGTTCAGAGAAGGGCGAGGCCAGGGTGGGCGTTGGCCGGAGCTCCCCGCGAGCTCTGCGCGCGTTCACGAGCTCAGTTCGACAGGTTCGGGCGAATCTCTACGCGGAGTCTCTGGAGGCCGAGAGGGGGCTCAAAGCAGCTGCTTTGCCATGCTTTGCCCCCGCCCCCATGTGAGGCCCAAGCTGTTCAAGCTTCAAAGGCTGGGTATCTTCACAGGGCCTTGAAATGACAGCGACCGCGCAATTGGAAGGTGGTGCCTCCTCCAGCTCGCGGCTTTCTAGGCTAGGCCGGCTAAGGTCTTTTGGATGCTCCCCGGTCACTCCTGGGTTCCTTGGCCAGGTCGCTTTGCGTCGATTCGCAAGTCCTCGGCACCATACCGAGGAAGTTGAAGACGCCTTGCGCGTAGTTCTAGGTCTACTAGGTTTTCTGTCTCCTCAGACACTGTGGGTCACGAAAGGAGCCTCGCTACATGCCCGAAAGCCCCACATGAACCCCACACAAGAAGCTTTCGTGATCGGTTTCACCCCAACGGAATGGTCCACGCACAACGCACATGTGTACAGAGCAGAACGAGTGTGGGGTCAGAGCACCACCGGCACAGCTCCAGTGCAAAAGTCTGGCCAGTGCATCAGTCGGGCGTCGGTTGCGGGCCGTGTCTGTAGAATTCTCGGGCGCAGTAGGAATCTGTATGCCCAGCCACCGCAGAGGTCACATGGGTCACTCAGAACAGTGAAGGAGTGGTTACCACCAGAGCGGCTTAGCTAGCACCTGCGATCATGTCCTACAAAGAACGTTTGCCATCCCCGAAGACTCCACAAGAGCCTCACGAAGCGCCGAGCGCAGCGCAGCCGTGCCGCGATGTGAGAGGCGCCCTGCGCCCAGCGGCTATGGCTCACGAGGAACCGAAAGACTACCCTTGCGCGAGCCGCGCGTGCGCATGCCTGCTTCGCTGTCGCGGCAGGAGGAGCAAGCCTTGGAAATCGAGGCGTCAAACCTCTGGACCGTGGCGTTCCAGTGACCAGAGACAAACATGCAGGCTTTGCAGTCGATTTTCGAGGGAGAGGAGTTCAAGAGTATTTCCGAAAAGGAGTGTGTGCCTTGGAGGGGCGCGCAGTCCGGAGTGCATTGAGTGTCCCGCCTCCTTCAGGTTCGCAATCAAGCTTCAGCCTTTCCCTGGCGGAGAAGGGGAGCTGTGTGGAGTGAGAGCGAGCGGGCGAGCTGCGCGTCTGTCGCGCGCTGCACATGCAGGAGAACCACGTCGGCGTCGTGCTCCACGTCACGTACACAGACGCCTACCCCGACGAGCCCCCGATATGGGAACTCGAGGAGGGACAGAGAGAGATGCTGCACCTGCCCCCGTTTTGTACTGGGCCCCCGACAGAGCAGCACCTCTGCACCTATCGGACGGGTAACAAGCCTGGCCTGCAGGTACTTAGCAGAGGTCAAAGTGGGTGAAAGTGAACAGAGTCAGAAAGGGATCCGGTGTGGTAGACTACGGAGTGGAAGCTGTGTCGCAGCGCACGTCCGAGACCCCAATGTGCAGAAACGCACTCCGTGCATGCCGGCAACTTTGGATGCCAAAAGAATCTGTGCGAAAATCTGGGGTGAGTTGCAGCTGTTGATCACATCCCACAGCTTCCCACCTCGCCACACCATCCACTTTTTCAACTCATTGAAGTTGGCATTGTGATGCTGGATACGGGAACGGCATGCCGGTCGCAGAGATGGATGGAGCCCACGAAGCGTCCGCAAGTGTTTCAAGCAGCTTGCCCTACAGGAATCCAGCCAGTGACCTTCCATTGAGTGGGACGGCTTGTCAGTTCGAGGGGTCGAACTTCGGCAGCCATCCGGAAAGGCACGCCCCGCGAGCTGGAGGGCTATGGGAAACTCAAGTGGAAGTCCCCTTCTCCCTGAAGATTGGAAGTCGCCAAGGCATGCGCTGCACCAAAACATGCCACGGCTCAAAGCTTGCCCTTGCTAGCTGCTAGTGGAGCCAAGGCTCCAGGCCCTGCCTCCCTGCGTGCGTTCTTAGTCTTGGGAACTGAAGTGCAAGCACAGTTGGAAGGGGGTTCGCGGGGGAAAGGCCCTGAGCGAGAGTTCGGCAAGATGCACATGGAGTGTCGCAAAGGGTCTGCCACGGGAAGGACGTTCTGGGTCTTGGTGACGAGAAGCTGGAGCAGCTGAAGGAGAAAATAACTGTCTGCTCCTAAGCCTAGGGGCCCGCAGCGATGCAAAACCAGAGTTTTGGTTTGCTCGTGGCTCAGGAGACGATTGAGTCGTCCATCGGCATGGCCATGATCTACTCCGTGACGGAGGCATGCCAGGACCGCAAGAAGCTCAGCTGCATGTCGGGCGCTGTCGGGTGATTATCCACCGGCACCACCTGAACAGCCAACAGCGTGCAACTGGCTCATGGCATCTGTCCGTCACCAACTTGTCGTTTCTCCGAGCGGGAAGGAGTGCTCACTTTGTCGCCGGGGGGCGGGGGTAGTCGGTCGGAAGAGCCCAACTGGCCAGGGATGACAAGTGAAAAGCTACAAGTAACAAGTATTCTCGCGGCTCAGCATCAGAAAGTGGCAGTGACCAGTTTGAAGATGCTTCCTGCAGCTGTCTTTCTCCGAACCGTCTAGCCTTCGCCACTGCAGGACTTTCTAAAGGATAACAACCAGAAGGAGCTGTCTATGCACGAGCAGATGATGCTGCGGCATACAGCTGGAGAGGCACGTCGGAACGAACTTTGCCAAGATGTCCAAGTCCGGCGAAACGCTTGTGCAGGACGACGACGAAGAGGAGGAGGCTGTTTCTTGACGGTTTGTTGCTTTTTGTTGCCTGCCATGGGACCGTTCAGCCGACTTAAGGAGGGCGAGGAGGAAGAAGAAGAGGAGGAGCCGGAGTGGAAGGGCGGCCAGCTCGGTGTCTCCGGTGCGGGGGCAGCAGAAAAAGGGCAGCTGGCGGATTTGTCTGGGTCAGGTTTAACGGAGAAGGCCCTCTGTCCCGAGAGCGAGCGGATCACGGCGGAGAGTTTCGCAGCTTGGAAGGCCGCCAAAGCACGGTCTGCAGCCGGGCTCGGCAATTGCTTTTGGCTTGGTGGTCCCTTCTTGTTGAGTCGCGACGTGTGTTTTGGCAGGCTCGCTCCACATGAACTTGTCAACAAACACCTGGAACCCTTGTCTGGCTTTTGTCGACGAGCCAATCTGGGCCTGGTAGATCTGTTATCGACCAATGTCTTCAATGAAGTTGTGTACGACAGCCCCCCCCCTTGAAAAACTGGGACATGGTGGACGGGCGAGAGCTTCAGAAGGAGGATGTGTCTCTTTTTATTCACTCCGACAAAAAACCCGGCAAAAAACCCCGGACTCCTCCCGGGGCTTTTCTCCACCAGGTGAAGTTCGATGCGGAGATGGTGGAGTGCGGGGTCCTGAAGCGAGACGAGGTGAAGTCAAGGACGGGACCCCGCGGCCACGATTTTCTTTGTGCGACCTTGTGAAGAGACGTCGATTTTAGTCGGAAAGCTTTTGAGCTTCCGACCTGAGCAGGTCAGGCAAGTTGATTTTCATGCAGGGCCAAGAAGGAGAGGAACGTGCGGGGCCTTGGCGTTCTGAAGTGCTTTGCTGCTTGCTGCCCAGCCTCGCGAGCTCTGGAGGCAAGAAGGAGGAGAACGGGTATCCCGCTGGAAAGACGCAACCCCAGTCATTGCGCTGTGACAAAGATCGACTGTGCACTCGGTGTCTGGCTGATGCTTTCGCGTTTTGCCTTTGGTGCCAGGTCCGATGTCCTGGTGTACGATGCTGCTTTGTTCGGCGAGGTGGGCCCAAGTGTGCAGCTTCCGAAGGCTCACCAGTGAAGCTTCGCTCATAGGAGGACGCAGACCTTGATGACATCGAGGACGACTGAGCCTACCGACCCATATGCGCGCACGCGCGCACGCGCGCGGTCCGCATGAAGTGCGCTCCCAGCACCTCAAACATGCTGTGACGAAGGTGCGGCCTTTGTGAGAGTTTATGTGCGGCCTTTTTGGGCAAGAGTCAAGAGTGTATGCATGCCCGTGCAGTTTGAACAGGTCACGCTTGAATGGCAATCGAGCTTTTTCAGGCTCTCGAGAGAGGTTCATGATGTAATGCAGATTGTGGGATGGTGTCTGGAAGGGCTGCTTCAGGCCCAGAAGCAGCCTCGAAGCCAAGTGGGTAAAGGGCTTCGGTCCCAAAGGGCCGCCATGGCTTGAGCCTGGTTCAGTCGCGAGATCCGCGCTCGCCAAGCATGAGAGCCCCGAGACGACGGCATGTGGCCAGTTTGGGCGAATGCCATCTCTGACTTTGATGTGGGGACTCAAGAACGGATACATCCATCACACCGTCGTGGCTCTGTGCTGAAGACGCTCTGCAACCAACAGTTGTCTTGGGCAAAGGCTACAGCCATAGCTTCGTGGATCGTCCGAAGTCGGGTCGCACCCTACCTATCTCATGCTGCTGTGGCGGAGGCTGTGCTGGGTGCCCAAAGCAGGGCAGCACAGTGGCAGAGCGCTCTGGCAGTTCTTCGGGGCTTGCTAGGAACGCATGGAGCGGCCGCCGCGGCCCGCTGCACCAGCGCTGCCATCACGGCCCTGGCCCGGAGTGAGAGCACAGCATGGCACCGGGCGAAGGCGCTCTTGGCCACCGCCCGGGCCTCGACTTGCAGATCCTGCGCGCCCCGCGTGTAAGCGGCTTTTGCTTGTCTCTGCAGGCGACTGGCGACTGCATCCTCTACAACGCGGCGATCCATAGCTGCAGAGCGGTCTGGATGGAAGCGGTCAGACTTTGCTCAGGCATGGAGCAGCGGGGCTTGCTGCCAGACATTGTAAGCTTCAATACCTTGAGCCGGCATATGAGCTGGCAGGCGGCCTGGCAGGCTGCCTTGGCGTCTTTGGACATCGTAAAATCTCGCAGTCATCGACCGGACACGGTCAGCTACAGCAATGCCATGAGCTCACAGGACTGGAGCCGTGCCGCAGGCCTGTTCTCGACCATGTGCTCCTCACTGCCCGGGTCGCGTCCTGTCAGAATGAGCCTGGGAAGTCTCTTTGCTGCCCTTCGCTCCAGCAAGGAATGGGAGCGAGCACTCTCTTTCTCTCGGCTCATGCCACCAGATACAAGGATGATGAACACCATCGGCTCCATGGCTACGAAGGCTACGGCGTCGCTGCAATCCTGGCGTGCGTGTCTGCGGATGCTCATTGAGATGCCCAGTCGGCAGCTGCAAAGCGACACCCTCACCTGGAGCCTCCGAGAGAGCGGAGGTCCCCTCCCCTGGCCCCATGCCTGGGCCTTACTCGAAAGCCTTGCAGAGCCTGCTCTCCTCTCTTCGAAGTCGGCGTCTCTGGCAGGGCCTCCGCCGGCGCTCTCCTGGGAGCGTGCCCTGCAGAAGTTGACGACGCCTCCTCCGCTGGCCGGCGCTCCCCGCGCCGCGGCGCTGACCCTGGCGCTCAGGGGCCTGGCGCGCGGGGGAAAGGGCCGAGCGTGCTTCGAGCTGCTGGAAGACTTCGGGGAAGCGGTGGACGTTTGCACGTATCTCTGGTGCCTCGCGACTCTCGCACACCTGTCCCCATCTCGAGACCCAGAAGCTCTGCAGGCTGTGCATCGTGAAGTGTGCCGTGCGATCGCAAAGGAAGAGTTGAGCTGCCACGAGCTGGCGGTGGTCGCCTGGTCCTTCTGTATGCTTGGCCTTCGCAGTGAGGGACTCAGCCTTCCGCAGTTGGAGGCTTTCAATGACCGGGACCTGATGCTGCTGGCCTGGGTCCTGGGAGCCAGCGCCGACTCTTCGGTAAATTCGGTAAAGGAGCTGCAGGCCGTGCAGGAAGAGATGTGCAGAAGGTTGGAGCTGTTGGAGCTCCCCAGAACCTGGCACCTGCCCATAAAGTCGCTGCGAGGGCTGTTGCGGGATGCTTTGGGAGCACTTTGGTCCTGTTCGCGATGTTCCTTGACCAGCAGCCGTTTCAGGGAGGTTTTGCAGAGGAAGCTGAAAGGCCTGGGAGGACTCTTGGATGGCGGCCCATCCGGGGCTTCAGGCGTGGCACCACCAAGACAGCGATCGAAGCGGGAGCGAGGCGGCCCTAGAGGGCGTTTGCAGCGAGTGGGCTGGTACCAGGATGCCGGGGGGCCTCGGATCAAGGCGGACCTTCCTCAGTGCTGGGTTGTCTTCAAGCCCTGCGGTTGGGAGGTCCATAACCGCAATGTGGAGAATCAGGTCGCCTCGTGCTTGCAGATCCATGGCAAACCCATCACCTTTGATTCCTCGCACGACTTTGGCTTCTTGCACCGCCTAGATGTGCCAAGCTCCGGGCTTCTACTTGCTGCAAAGTCGTATGAAGCCTTTTACAACTTCAAGTTTCAGCTTGCAGCCGGCATGATAACGCGGGAGTATACCGCCTTGTGCCACGGGATTGTGCCTGCTTTGAGCTTGAGAGAGATCCGAGCCGGCATTTTCTGGGACTCGTCCCTTCGGCCCACTCGATCGGGCGGGGCAGGCAAGCCTTCTTGCACCTTTCTGGCTGTGACGAGGTCTTTCTGGAAAGCCCCTCTGACCTTCAGCCTCGTGGTGCTTTTGATTGATTCGGGACGCCGACATCAGATCCGAAGCCACTGCGCGCATGTTGGGCACCCGACCGTTTGCAGCGCAGCTGCATATGTTCAGATCAAAGATGTTGCCGTTGCGTACTGAAGCGGCTGCCAGGTGCTGCCAACTCCGCGAAGCCTTTCAGACTGTACGCCTGTACGCTGTACTGTACAACAAGATACTCAACAGTTCCAGGCTTGCTATCAGTAAGAGAGAGCTCAAGAGCGAAGGCAAGAGATCCGAGCCGTTCTCCGTGTCAGCCAAGGCGATGCCAAGTACACGTCCGCGAAGACTTGGCGGGAGGATGCCAGGCTGTGCTCTCGGCACTTCCTCCACCGCTCCCGCCTGAAATTCTTCGTGGACACGGCGGCGGCAGCGGCGGCAAGCTTCGAGGAGCCGCTTCCCGAGGAGCTGGTGGCTTGCCTGGAGGGCCTGGAGGGCTTTGGCTTGCCTGGAAAATCCGAGTCCTTCTGATTCTAGGCCCGGTCTAGGCCCCGTGACCTTTGACATCTGCTATGTTCGTGAGTGCCGTGAAGGCTCAAGCGCGGCATGGCATGAAAGGAGTGGATGCAACCAGGGGCCACTGAGGGCTGGGCCGCTGCCGTTGAACATCTCGCGAACTTCAAGCAGAGGCGCTGCCAAACAAGCACAGAAGTTGTTTGCAGCGTCGCTTTGGCAGATCTTGCACGTCGGCGCAGATGGCATCAGGCTGCCAGTTTGCTGAAGCTGACACGGGCGCGTACGCTTGCAGTCGACGAGTACAGTTACAATTCAGGCATATTCGCTTGTCGCCATGTAGTCACATGGAGTCATGCCGTTGCTGGGCTACTGACAATGGAAACGGAACGCTTAGAACCAGATGCTTGCACCTGCCATGCACTCGTGAGTGCTTATGAGAGTGGCAGCCGATGGCAATCATCCTTGCGATGTCTGGAGCTCCCTTTCAGCTCCCAGGGTGGTCTGGCATGTAGCAATGCCATGCTAAGCGCTTGTGCAAAGGCCAGAAGGTGGCTGCAAGCGCTGCAGCGTCTCTTCCTCCAGCCCATGAGAGATGTCATCAGTTGGAACGTGGTGATTTCCGCTCTCGGCAAAGGTGGTTGGAAGGTGGCACTTGGATGCCTTCAAGCGTGTCGCAGAAGCTTCGTCGAGCCCGATGCCGGCACCCACAACTTGATCAGCGTCGCCTGCAAAGGCGAACCCCGCGCCTGGCAGAGGGTACTGCTCTGGGGAGGCGGCTCGCCTGTTACGGCGGCGGCCACCACGGGCCGCATTGAGGCGATGCGCCACGGAGGTGCCTCCACGTGGCCTCTCTGCCTCTCTGCTCTTTTGGAAACCTCTTCTGATCCCGTCTTGGTCTCGGCAGCTTTGGGCACCTTGGCGCTTGCGGGGCGGCTGAAAGACTTCGAAGATTTGCTGGAGAAGGAGAAGCACGGGCTCGGCCCTCCCCTTCGACTCTGGGCAGTTGCGAAAATCGCGGTCTTGGCACAGCTGTCGCCTTCGGCGCGTCGCTCCCCGCCGCCGGAGCGGCTCTTGGGCGCCCTTTTGGAGGCCCGGGACGGCAGCGCCGAGGCGGGCACGAAGGCTTTGACGCGGCTCTGGTGGGCCCTGTCCGTGCTGCAGGCCTCCAGTCCTCGCTTTGAGAAGGCTTTGGCAGCAAGGTCCCTAGAGAGACTCGAGGACTTCCCGGACAAGGAGCTGATGCTGGTTGCCTGGGCGGTGTCGGGCCAGGGTCCCTTGCTGCAAGTTTCCGTGTTGCGAGCTGTACAAGCAGAGCTGCTACGCCGAATTGCCGGCACTTCTAGTGTCGTCCTAAGCCCGGAGCTCGTTCGATGCATCCTGGGAGTGGTGTGGTCTTGCAGTTTCAGCAGTGGCTTGATGGAAGGCTTTTACATGGTCGCATGGCGCGCTTTGTGTCGGCATGGTCGAGGCTTGGACAGTGAAGGCAAAAAGGGCACAGGAGCACCAGCAGCGGGAGGATCCTTATCCAATGCGACTTTCAGCCCGGTCGGCTTCGAACCTCCGCGAGTTGTGTTGGACTCGTCGGAAACACTGGCGATTCTGAAGCCACCTGGCTGGGAAGTTCACGATGAAAGTTCCGACGCTCGAGAGACACAGCAGCTCCTGCAGTACGTCAGAAGCCTTGTCGGTCAGCAGAGGATGCCCATTCTCGAGGATCCTGCATGCAATTACGGCTTCCTGCATCGACTGGACGTTCCGAGTTCAGGCTTGATCCTGGCCGCCAAGACCTTCGGGTCCTACTTTGACTTGCAGACCCAGTTGGCGTCGGGGAGGCTGCTTCGAGATTACGTGGTCCTCTGCCATGGCCTCATCTCAGCCAAGCTGACCATCGAGGCGCCTCTCTCCTGGCTGAGCGACTCTTCGAGGGACTCTTTGACGCGAAGCGGGGCCTTTGGGAAGCCGGCGCGAACGGAGCTCACCCGAGTCCGAGCGGTGCACAGCTGCAAGGGCTCTTCCTTCGGCTTCTGCAAGATTCGCATTCGCACCGGACGTCGGCATCAGATCCGGAGTCATCTCGCCTACGTTGGTTTTCCGGTGGTCTGTGATGGGAAGTACACCGCGCAGGAGACCTTCGAAAGGGACTGCTTCTGGTTCCCGAAGAAGAGGAACGCCCTGCACCGCTTCCGCGTTTCTTTCCGAGAGGAGGGTTTAGGGACTTGTTGTGCCGTGACCGAGCCGCCTGGAGAAGACTTTCGCAAGGCACTGGATCAGATAGCATGGGACGATGTGCTCAACTCGTGACCTCGACACCGGGAAGCTCGCGCGGCATCCTTGGTCGTGTGGACAGTGCGCGCACAGGGTACACGACTGCGAGGTCCTCGTGGCCTTACAGGCAGCCTGCAATGCATGACTGCCTCCAGTGAAGATGCTACGACCGCTACGACCTGAACCCGAACGCAGGTCTGCAAGCGCCTGCGCCAGGTGACTCGAGGCAAAGCACGCTGCCCGAGAAGCCTCGCCCGCTGACATCCGCTGACACTGTGCCGCTGTGGAAAATCTTCAGAAGGTCTCAGAACCGAGAAGGGGTGTGCCAGTGTTTCCTGCCTGTGAACTCCGGGGCAAGAAGGTCTATGTCGAATTCCGCCGTCCGTGCTCGCAGCGTTGATAATGCAGCATGTCATGTACCAAACGGCCGTTGGGTGGGCTGCACAGACCTGGAGCATGCGCCTTCACATCCCCGTCGATCCCCGTCGGCACACCGCAAGCACGTAAGACAACCAGGCACTAGTAGCAGCGTCGCATCGGCCCCACCCCTCCGACTCCCACAGAGATCCCACCCACAAAAACAACACCCACAGCCACAGCATCTCAGAGAGAGAAACCTCGAACTCAGAGGGCCGTCAGAGAGCGATGCCTCCGCCGCGGCGGACCAAGGCCCGTCCCGGAGGATCTTGAAGGGTACGCTGCTGCTCTCTCTGCTTTTTTTGGTCTTTCGGTGCTCTCCGCTCTCCGCTCGCTTCGCTCGCTTCGCTCGCTCAGGTCCCGCGGAAAGCGAAGGGGAAGAAGAAGCCACCGGCGAAGCCAGGCACGGCACTTCACGGCACGTGGTGCGTGCGTGGGCTTGCTGTTGTGGCTTGAGCCTCAGCGCCAGTTCGTCGGAGCTCGACGAGGAGCTCGAGCTATTCCGAAAGTAGCTACGGCAGTGATGCCCGGCCCTCAGACCCTGCTCAGACCCTGTGCCGTGCAGTGCTGTGCACTGAAGTTCCCTAAGCCAGGGCAGTTCGTCCCCGGAACACTCGGACGAAGACGACCCCAAGGAGTACAAGAGGGGAGGCTCCGGAGCGAGATGGCTTGGCCGCTGCGAAGCCTGGTCTTTGAAAGTGCTGGGCGATCGGCAGGTTATCACCCGGTCATGCCGTACCAGCTTTACAATGCACGGTGCTGGCCTTAAGTGGACACAGATCTTGCGCAGCAGACGCTGCACAGCGAGATTCTGAACTTTCGAGGTATCGCGTGCTGTCCAAGCTGGGAGCCGGTGCATTCTCGACCGCCGGGGGTCTTGGGGCACTTGGGGCCTTCGGAGAAAGCGTCCTCAAATCGCTGGAGAGATCAGGTCTGGCTCTGCACGGATGAGAAGGACTCCTCCCAAGAGCCACGGTTGATCGCCATGAAGGCGCCGTGAAGACGGCCAGGGACGACGGAAAGTTCATCTTGGACTTAGGTGTGCAAGTCGAAGAAGAGCGTCACGGAGCAGGTCTGGAGAAACTCGATGCGTGCTCTGCTCCCGTGCCATCCCGTGCCCAGAAGTTGCAGGCTCAAGATGAGGTCATGCTACTCGAACGGCGACGTGGCTGCACTCGGTCGAGGCTACAGTCACCCTGAAGAGATTCCACTGCAGGCTACATCAGGACGGCAGCTCGCCACATGTGGTGAAGGCCTGATCCCCGCCTTGAAGGAGCACTTCTTCTTGCATCGCTCGCGCTTGCTTGCGCTCGCTCGATGGGAAGCTACCGTTCAGATGCTGGACCACTTCTGGCACACCGGCACGAATGGTCGCCACAAGTGCATGACATTCGAGGCTGGATCTTGGTCAGCTGAGGTTGAGTCCGCGTTCCTTCGGCCAGCGACATGCATTCAGTTTCCTCGGTGGTGCTTCATCGGCGCTTCCGGAGGTGATGGGGGAGAACTTGTTGGCTTTGGTCGGGCACTCCAGACTGCGTCGTGCTCAAGGTGGCTGTCTCGTCACCCAGGTCCGGCACCACAACTACGAGGGCCTTCCCCGAGACCTCTGTCGACGTCTATCAAGGCGTAGAAGAGTGGACACGGCACTCAACTTGCCTGCAGAAGTGCATGACGCCGGTGTTTGCCAGCTGTTCAAGTCAAAGCTGCACAGGACAGGTGAGGAGATGTGCTTGCAATGCACCCCAATTCGCAATGAATAAGTCAGGAGCCCGCCTGCAAGTCCCACCCACGCGCTTAACGGGATTTCTAGCGGAGCGGACCAGAGTCAGCAGGACCTAGATTTCGCATGCAACATCTTGAGCACTCCTCATGATCCGACATAATGACCACTCTGTCTGGCGCCTCGTCCACCGTCCGGTGGCACCCTCAGTGCCAGGTTTGTGAATGCGTGCAGCAAGTAATGACTGCGTACCAACTGGGTCCAATCCAGTTCCAAGGCTGCAAAGATCACAGCTGGTTGAAGGCCACGGGAATTCGTGGAGAAAGGATGTCCTGCATCACTTTTTCGACAGCTCAGGGGTGGCGAAAGACAATGCCGACCCCCCACAGAAGGGACTGGATTACAGTCACAGCGCCGGCAGCCAGACATTGGCCAAGCCGAGGCCTCTCTTTAATGCCGCAAGCTCACGGCTCAAGGAGACCCAGGCCGGTTTTTCATAGACGAGAAGACCCTTCAAACGCGCGTTTCCTCGGGAGGTGGAGCTGTCGAAGCACCGTGGCCTGGCAGCCAAGAAGGAGAACGCGCAGCTTGTTGGGCCTTCAGCCTTGACCGCGTGACCTTGTGCCGCAGGATCTGCAGCTCCAAGAAGACACTGCCAAATTGTTGCAAGCGGTGGACCTGCGACATCGACAGGAGAACAAGAGGGGACAAAAAACGCGAGGATGTGTTTGTGGGGCGCATGGCGGCATGGCGCAGCTTTCCTGCGTGAGGACGAGCTGCAGTCGGAGCTTCGAGCAGCGAAATCCTCCCACGCTACGGAGCGGCCGAGAGCGCAGAGAAGGGCGAGTGCGAGCGTCTCTTGTGTTTCTTGTTTTCCTCTGACCTGATTCTGTGTCCGTGTAATCTCTTTACACAGACATTGAATACATACAAGAAGTTAATATATATATATATGCATATATGTATATATGTATGTATGTATGTATGTATGTATGTATGTATGTATGTATATGTGTATGCATACATACCCGTATATATGGGTGGCCAGAGGAGCTGGAAGCCCAGCAGAAGCACTTGGAGGTGCCCTTGCGCTCGTGCAGCTGACGTGCTTGGGCCTCCTTTGACCGTGGGAGCTCTTTAAGGAGCAGCACTCCGAGGAGCTCTTGCGTTCGGGACTTTGGAGGTGTAGTTAACTTCAGTACTTCGGTTTTGGCCGCTCCAGGTCAGCTGCTCCAGGCGGAGGAGAGCGAAAGGAAGCTCTTGCAGGAGTGCAGGGTGTAGGGCCGGTGGTTGGGACCTCATGGAGAGGCCCCATGTCGCAGGCGCACAGCCAAGAGCCGGGTGCGGCCGTCCTGCTGCTGGAGGATGGGGGACGGGCCCTGCGTGCACCTTTCGAAACCCCCTGCCCGGGGTGGCCCTGAGGACTCCGCGGCCTTCCGGGCCGAGGCCGAGCAGGCGGGCGCGCGCTGGGGGCCGCCATTTCGTCGAAGTCTCTCTGAGAGAGTCGGGGCATTTTGTTGGGGCCTTTTTTTCATCTCAAAAGGCCACCTGGCAGCAGAAGACCGAAATCCAGGAAGCTGAGCTGCTCATGACTTCTCTCCAGCAGGACCTCCCTGCGATGCGCGTTCCGGTCCCGAGATGTCTTGAGAGAGGAGCTCCTAGATGCCGGCGACGAGATTCGGATCTTGAGGCTTCCTGCCAGTTGGTGGCTCCGAAGTCCCCTCCTTCCTGTCATTCCTGTCGTGATGGTTGATATTTTGTTGGAGGCAAGAGCGAGACAGCGAGAGCGAGGCGGCATTCGTGACCCAGGAGGCTGGGTTCCGCAATGTTCCGCAGTTCCGCTTGGCGAGTCGAGCAGAGCCGGCTCCGAAGGCTTACCTTGCTGAGTCCCGAGCCTCCGTCCGCCAGCAGGAGGCAAGGGCCAAGTTTGAGGGAGCGCGAGACACGAAGCTTCTCTGTAAGAGAGGCCTTGCACGCAGAGGTCCGGGCCCGAAGGTCTCGAAAGACAGGACAGGCGGACTCCTCTCTGCCTCTGTGGCAGGTCCGGACCAGGCTTTCGGAGGTCGCAGCCTTCGAGGCGTGCGGCAGCAGCTTTTTTCTTGGCATCTCCCTCACTGGAGCTTCCCGAGAGGAGAGCCAGCGCGGCTTGGATGGTCAGTCGAAAGCCTTGCAAAATGAGATCCTCGGCCCAAAGTGCAGAGAAGTGCACATCGCGGCGCAGAGCGGCGCACCTCGACTGCCCTATTCCGGCCTTAGGCTCAGCAAGGTGGCCTACACAGTTGGCCAGCGCGACCACGAACTCAAGGCGGGATACAGCACACAGCAGACTCCGCAGAATCTGTGAAGCTCGGAGGTCAAGGACACGGAGTTGCAAGAGGTCCGCAGCAGCCTCGCTGGCATGCAGGAGCCTGGAGAGAGAGAGAGAGAGAGACCCTTTGTTTCCTGGCCCCAAGGACCCTGCTCCCAACACAGCACACCACCACCAGCGCAGGAACCCAGCAGTGTTTGTGTTCCCCTATAAAATGTCCGTTGCCCCTACCCCCTGTGCTTCCTCGGGGACCTGCGCTGCATCAGAGCAACATAGGCCACCAACCGTAGCGGAACACAGAACACAGTCTGAAAACAAGGGGACCCGTGAAGGAACCTGAAACCCTTACAGTGGAAGCTCCTGCAGCTGCCTTTTCCGTTGCCTCGCCCCTCTTCTCTCGACAACAGGGGACCCTACCGGAGCACCCCAAACTCCCACTCTCGGCAATCGCGGAGTCCAGCACAGAGAGGGGTTCGGCACAAACGAAGCGAACTAGGCGGGGTTTTGTAGTTGCTCGAGCTAGGGCTCTAGTCGTGTGCAAGTCTGTTCCGTTTTTGCCGTTTCCTCTCACACGTCGTCTCACGCCGACTACAGGGACACCGGACGAAGGCGTAGCGCTTGCGCGCAGGGGTTGTGGGGGTAACCTCGCACCC